AAATGTGCATATAGTTCTATGCTATTTTATCACAGTACTGCAATCAAGATACAGATGTAGTCTATCACTGCAATGATCTCCTTTGTGCTACAACTTTCTGGACACACACACTCCTTGTTCCACCATCCCTAACCCCTAGCAATCATTAATCTATTCTGAATCTCCATATTTTTCCATTTAAAGAATATTATTAAAATGTAATTGTACAGTATGTGACATTTCAAAGTTTTTAATCCACTCATTACAATGCCCTTGAGATCTGTCCAAGTTGTTGTTTGTATCAATAGTTCATTCCTTTTCATTGCTTAATAGTGTTCCATGGTATGGATGAAATGCAGTTGTTTAGCCATTCATCTATTCTTTAATAATGCTTATGTGATGTAAATTTTTCAGTCCTTTTGGTTCCAATGTTTCTACATGCTTTTCTTTAGCATGTAGCCGGATTTTAAAAATTTGGTAGTATATTTTAACTGGTAAATTTAGTGCATTTTCACTTATTGTTATTACTAATGCATTTGAGTTCTGTGCTATTTATCTTGCTTTTGCAAAGAGGTTTCGCTTTTTCTCATTTCTCATCTTCTTTCTATACCTATTTCTTTTATTTTAGTGATAACTCTTGAAATTTTATCTTTCATGTCTAACTTAAGTCTGGGTATAATCATATATTATCAATATATTGACAATAGGTGAGACCTTCAACTGTGATAAATCTGGACTGATTTAAACTTATGTTCTTAAGTCAGACACATTCAAACTCTGCAATTCTACTCTTTTTTTGTTCTGATATTGCAATTTCACCTTAACCTAAGATTTTTTAACATTTCATAATATGAGACGCATGTGAGAAAATTTGCTATTTTACTTATAAGGCACATGGATATTATTTTTCAAAAGCTCAAAGAGGCTTAGAATTTCCTGAATCACCTACTGTGATCATCTTCACTCCTAGTTTCACTAAGGAAATATGATAAGGTGGTGAATTAAACTAATATTACAATGAAGCAACAGACAATGTTAAATTTTAAAATCACTCTTCAAGAAGTCTAACAGCTTTAAGTGAAATGGGATTCTTGTAGTAGAAGTCCTTAATTGCTCTGTTTTGTCTTTTACATTGAATTCCATATTCAAGTTTATTCATATTTTTCATTGAAATTTGCTCAATGTCCTTAGAAATAAATATATGCCTCTTCTGCATGAAATTGTTTTAAAGGAGCAACAGCCTTGTCTCTGAGAACATATTGTCAGAGGGAAAGCATTTATTTATTTATTTATTCACTTATTCACTTATTTATTTATTTATTTATGCACCAGGGATTGAAATTAGGGGCACTTAAACATGAGCCACATTCCTAGTTTTGAGACAGGGTCTTTCTAAGTTGCATAGGGCCTTGCTAAGTTGCCAAGGCTGTCTTGGAACTTGCAATTCTCTTGCCTCAGCCTCCTGAGTTGCTGGGATTACAGGCGTGTGCCATCACACCTGCCTAGGTTATTCATTTTCAACCCAAGATTGTGAAAGAAAATCTCATTTGCACTTTGACCACCTCAACCCAAATATTCTTGAGAGTCTATTATTTACTATTATATTTGTAGTCTTACTCTTAGTTTGCAGCCTTTTGCTTAAGTGCAAACAGGGAATTTATGGAAAGATACTGAGATATTTCTTACAGTAAGAAAAAGGTTGAATAACCTAGACTGATAGTAGGTAGAAACAAATGCAGCTCTTGGAACCCTGAGAGCAGTGATTTACATCGCTTCATCCTTGCGCTCTGCCACTAAAATGATATCCCTGTATTCTCAGTCCTTGCATTTATGAGGTCATATTCTTAACTTCTTCCTGATCTAATTGTTCATGCAGAACAATAAATCAAAGTAGGGAGAGCAGGACTATTCAGTGTAAATATAGTTGTGAGAACTGTCCCACCACACCTATGACCTGGACACAAAATGTAAAAAAGGTACAAACTATAGTACAGAATGTCTAAAGAATGTTTCAAGAGTCAGGAATAGAAAAATATATAGCTAATGCCAAAGTTTTAGTTTCTATTGTTATTATTTTATCAAGTTAAATATTTCAAAGAACTATTCTTTCAAGTTTTTGCTACAGCTGGACTATGCTGTTGATTTATCACATGTGATGTGACTTAAAACACAGAAACACAGACTTTAGGGAATGAAATATTTGTCTACCACGTGATTCTCTGCTCATTCATAAGGCCAGTCAACACATCTCTGTATGGAAATATGTTTCACCTAAAGAAGATATAAGTTTCCACTGTTATTCAGGGTAAAGGAAGAAGGTTGGATTATCTCAATAGCTGGAATCAAGCCAAGAGATGCTGATGCATCCTTCTTCAATATATCATCTCAAATTCCACCTCTGTGCCACCCAGAAGAAGACATTAATGTTCCAGGACTGACATATTTTCAGGTTCTCCTTATTAAGAATTTAAGAAATCTTGAGTCTAACCTCATCTAGAGTCATCTTGTTACCATAGTAACGATAATTTTATCATGAATAAGATATAATAAACATTTAAAAATGAATCTCGATCTTTAAAAATTGAGTGTGTGACTATAAAGAATAAAATCACTTCTAGTAATTTCAGGACACTGCCTCGATCCATGCTAAGGCACCAACAGTTTTACCCATCATTGTTTTGTACCATTGGTGCAAGTGTAAACCCTGTGAGGACATCTAATGACATGTTAGTATTATTTTGTATTTAGTTTATATCTTACTGTTTTAGAGACCTGCAATAGTCCATGAGCTACGCATTGAGAACCACTGATCTACAATGTATTCTGAATTGTATGTAAAAAATACAGAGGCATACATTATAAACATCTGAAAAAATTTTCACCCAGTTTCAATTTTGTGAACTTTTTAAACTGATACCATAGGCCCTGATATATGGTGAATGTCTTTTTTTGTAAATACAGAAGTACATCATAATTTTTTTCTATGTTGGGTACCGGGGATTGAACTCAAGGACACTCGACCACTGAGCCATATCCCCAACCCTATTTTGTTTTATTTAGAGACAGGGTCTCATTGAGTTGCTTAGCAGCTTGCTTTTGCTGAGGCTGGCTTTGAACTTGTGATCCTTCTGCCTCAGCCTTCTGAGCCACTGAGATTATAAGCATGCACTACCGGGCCTGGCAGAAGTACATCATAATTTTAAAAATTTATTTTTAATTAAAAAATTAATATTTTACACATTTTTTGGGAACAATACAATGTTTTGATATATGTATACATTGTGGAATGGTTAAATCGGCCTACTTATATGCATTACCTTATATGGTGATCATTTTGTGGTTATAGAATCTACTCTCACAGCAATATTCAAACATATAATATACTGTTATTAACCATAGTCTCCATGGTGTATAATAGTTTTTAATAGTTGCATTATATTCAATGTGAGAAAAGCATGTTGAGTTCAGAAAAATCTCTCAGACCCTTATCATTTTCTGTTTTCATTTCTTCAGTGGGCCGGTTGCAGGGAGGCCGGGGGAGAGGGAAGGTGTACTTGCTCTTAGGTGAACTGAGGAGTGGTGGTGGGGCTCCCCAAAAGATCTTACCACTACTTCTCTTCCAAAGGAAGGCAGACCTAGACCTCTACCTTTGGGAAATCAACCACTGGTCTATACCAATAGTCATTCTTTCTGCCACATTGCTTTTTTTTTTTTTTTTTTTTTAATTGGGGATTGCACTCAGGGGCACTCAACCACTGAGCCACATCCCCAGCCCTATTTTGTATTTTAGTTAGAGACAGGGTCTCACTGAGTTGCTTAGCACCTAGCCATTGCTGAGGCTGGCTTTGAACTCGTAATCCTCCTGCCTCAGCCTCCCTCCTGAGCTGCTGAATTACAGGCGTGCACCACTGTGCCTGGACACACTGCTTTTTTTCTCATCCAAAATGGGAACTCCTTTTGTCATTAAACAGTCTTTACATTTGCCCAAGAAAAAGGGCAATGCTGTCAGGACCAGCATCAGATCATATAGATAGGTGGCATATGGCAGATCTCGGCTTTTTTATTTTTATAAGTCTCTTATAATTAACATATTTAATATTTCCTTTAGCCATAATCCCATTTTACCCTTCATCATCTCATTCTTGGATTATAACTTTGTAACAAATGTTCTCATTTCCAGTCTCCACCCCAACCCCATGCCATGTCCAATCCATCTTGCACATTGCTGCCAAATGATTGTTCATTTTGTCAACAATGTCCAGTGTCTCCCAGAATATGACAGAACATTTCAATATCTCAGTTTAAGGGTCAATATTTATTTAAAATTTCCTCACCTTAAACTCTCGTTGTTCCTCTTCCCATCACTTCTATTCCAGGCAAACTAGCTTTCTTCCTATTGCAGGAATGGATTTCCCACTTTCTTGCCTTTCTTCAAACCATTTCCCCTCCTGGACTGCCCTTCCAACCTAGTTTATATGTACCCTGGCTCATGGAAGCTTTCCTCAGCAAGCTCTGCTTTATTTAACCAGAGAGCATATATTTGATAATAAGCACATGCTCATGTACTGTTAGTAATCCTTTTGTATTCATGTCCCTTATCTCTTCAGCTAGATTTCAAATTAAAGCATGAAGACAATTTCGTGTCATTTAAAACATACAACTTTATTGATGATACACAAATGAAGTCTTTGGTGGATAAATTCAAGTCAAAACAAATAATAGCAGAGTAGGCCATTCACGATGGACAGATTCACTGTCAAGTCACATAGAGGAACCAGTAAAAATATTCCATCTAAGCAGCACGATTAAAATCACAAATGTGTTTTCAGTACAAGAAGACTATTTGGTATTCATAAATGACTGTCACAGATAAGATCACTCTGGATGATTCATTATTCAAAACTGGCAGCTGAAAGGATCCCTTTACTATACAAGCAAATGGAAAAGCAGTAACTTTCAATTTTCAATGCTTCCAGACTACAAGAACAAGGAATTTCAAGTCTTTTGAGAGGACACAACAATCAAAATTTGTTCACCAGTTTTATAACTTTCACTTTTACCAAGAGGTCATGGTGATTTGCTAAGGCTCGAATTTTCTTAACGCACACTCCAGATGTAGTGCATAAGTAAAAAAGGGAACCTTTGTTGAATTCTCTGTAGTTGAACACTTCTGCTCTGAGATTGTCATAGATAATCTCAAATAGAGTAAGGGCATTGATAAGAATTTCTGATTCCACGTAAGAATTATACAGGGAACTAAATGATGATGGCACTTGGGTACTGAGAAGTTTTTTAAGCATATCTGGATTTTCAGCAAAATTGGAAAGTATTTTCAGAATCTCAACCTTGATTTTCCCACCTCCCTGAGATAACAAACGGAAAAAGTTTGCAATGGAATTGACAAGCAGGTGCTGGTAGTCATTGGTAATAGTCATGTTCGTTAAAAATTTTAGTCCAACTACCTGTACTGCTGAGTTCAGGTTAGAGGCCATAATATCATCCATTACTTTGTTCATGTATACCTGAAGACGGCCCTGGTTTTCATAATTTTCACTCAAGTTATTCATGGCCATTAAGGCTTTTTCTTTAATGTGGGGATCAGTTTTGTTGATCATGTTTGCAATAATTGGGAGGCCTCCCAATTTGCGAATCGTCTCTTGGTTACATGAATAATTGGCATTGTTGCTCAAGGTGAGCAAAGCTACCTGTTGAATGAAGGGATCATCTGATTTCTGAAGCAAGGCAAGTACTTTCCTGAGATCTCGGACACCCAGAATCTCATCAATTTCATAAGGAAAGGGGCGCTTCTGAATGGGAACAGGTTTTTTCCCTCTCCCTCTGCGCTGGGTTTCTGGTTCAGAATCTGAATCCGACTCTGTGTCAGTCCAACCAGATTCCCCTTCCTCAGAATCAGGGACCTCTGCTAGGAAAGCCTCTCCCCCATTAGCGGAGGCTGCAGCAGCTGCTGCAGCCCCATCCCCAGGGCGGAATCCCATTCCCAATTCATCTACTTCAACCTTGCTTTTCTTGCTCTTGCCTTTGCCTCCAGTCCGGGACCGGGTTCCACCCTTGGCTCCACCTTTGGGCACAGCTCCAGTGGCAGAGGCAGCCTTAGGTATAGCCCCAGTGTGAGCCCCAGGGGTTGCTTTCTTGCCAGCTACTGCTGTTCTAGGGGACCCTGAAGTTCCAGGAGCCTCTGCAGCCCCAGTAGGTGCTGCTGACCCAGCAGGCTGTGTGGGCACAGGAGACTCAACCACCTCTGCAGGTGCTGCCATTCCAGAAGTCCGGGCTACCTCAGTAGGTGTTGCCACCCCAGGAGCCTCCACAGCTTCTGAGGCTGCTGTCACCACAGCAGATGCTGCTGCCCTGGGAGGTGCTGCTGTACCAGGAGACACTGCTGCTCTAGGAGGTGCTACTGCCCTGGGAGGCACTGCTGCTGCCCCGGAAGCTGCTGCTGCTCCCCCATGAGCTGCCACTGCCCCATGAGTTGCTGCTGCCCCTGGAGGTGCTGCAGCCCTGGGAGGTGCTGCTGCCCCGGGAGGTGTCGCTGCCCCGGGAGGTGCCGCTGCCCTGGGAGGTGCTGTTGCCCCGGGAGGTGCCACTGCCCCGGGAGTCGCTGCTGCCCTGGGAGGTGCTGCTGCTGCCCCGGGAGTCACTGCTGCCCTGGGAGGTGCTGCTGCTGCCCCGGGACTCACTGCT